AGGGCAGGGGTGGCACAGGGACCCTCGGGGACCCTCGGGGACTCACATAGAACCGGGGCCTCGCCAGCGCCACCTCCGCGCCGTCACCGATCCGCCGGGCCCTGTCCCTGTCCCTGTCCCTGTCCCCCGGCGGCTCCGGGCCCTCGTCCAGCTCCAGCTCGTGGCTCTCCAGCCCCAGCCCTTTGCGCTTCAGCGTCTGCGGGGAGGGGGCGGTGAGCGGGGGGCGGAGGTCGCTGCGGGCCCGGGGGCCCCTCCGGGCGCTACCTCGAGGATGTCGGAGTTGGTGCGGCTCTCGTGGGGCTCGCTGTACTCGGTGTAYTTGAGCAGCACGCGGTCCATGTCGCTGCTGGCGTACTGGAACAGCCGGTTGGTGCTGTTGAAGATGATGAGCGCGATCTCGCAGTCGCACAGCACGCTCAGCTCGTACGCCTTCTTCATCAGCCCGAACTTGCGCTTGGTGAAGGTCACCTGCGGGGGGGAGCGCTGAAAACCCCCCGAACTGCCCCAAATTCCCCTCCCGGGGCGAGGGAAACGCTCCCGAGGGCGCAGCGGGGCGGCCGCGCCTGTGCCAGCCCCTGGTCCCCACCCTGTCCCCACCCTGTCCCCACCCTGTCCCCACCTGCCGGTTCCGCTGATCCAAAATTCGGCTGATCTGGATTTTTTTCCGGCCCATTTTCGCCTCCTCCGCCGCTTTGGGGCTGCAAGAGAGCGAGAAGCGCCTGAGCCCCGCGGCCCCGGGGCTGTCCCCGAGCAGCGGCCGCCCCAGCGCTGCCAGGAATGAGCTTGACTGCTGAAAAAAATGGGGTTTCGGAGGAAGTTGGGTCATTTCTTCTTCCGCGAAGATGGTGGCCAAGCGGAAAATGAGGAAAAAATGGGAAATTCTGCTGGGTTAGAGGGGAAAAAACCCCCTCGGCCCTGCGCGGGTGCCCCAATCCATCACCCCGGCCCCGGGYACCTTCGGCTGTTGGCTGGAAATGACCCCAAACCCTTCAGCGGGACTTTGGGATCGGGGTTTTCATCCCAAATCTGCCCCGAGGCCGCTCCTGAGGCGCTCCGGACGGCTCTGAGGGACGGGGAGGGCGATATAAAGGGGC